TGAAGCTTGAGCTTTTGTTCACTCAAGCCGCTAGATGCTGCTGAGGCTGACAAACCCAAGGTTGACAAGTAAAAGGGCACAGTCCCGATGTTATGAAACCACACGGCAGACCACTAATTTAAGTCCAAGAGAAGTCTCAAGATCAGCAGGGCATGGCAGGCTTCTGAACAAAGCCTTGGCTACATGCAGGGTTCGAGCATGCCAAAAAGCTGGAGACCATTTCCAAAGCTGCTTCTTATATATGGGAAGCAGACCACATCCCTAAGGCAGCTACTCAGCTGCTCACAGTAGATACCACCATGGAGTTGATTACCAGTCTCATCACGGGGAATACTACACAGCCACTCAACCAGGCCCAGCCAAGTTGACACACAACCTTAACTACCACAGTAGCTGAGCACTTAACTACTTGCACCACTTAGAGATGAGATAGATACCAAGTATAAAACTTATAAAGCACAAGTGGAATTTCATTGACAACTGACTATAATAAGAGATATTACAATGTGTAGTAATGAACACAGACTCTAGAGATACCTGGATTCATATCCCAGCTCTGCCACTTACTAAGCACCTCTCTAAGGAAGCTCATAGGCTTGCTATGAGGATTAAATGAGCTAATATTTGTTCTGTTACTGGAGTCTGGCACATGGTAAGTAGTCATTTGGATGAGGGAAATTGAAAAGATTTTGGCAATGGACAATCCATGAGTGTACAAGGCTCTTTCCTTTGAAAAAATGTTGGTTAGGGAACCATAGGACTATATTTATAGTTATATACTTTGTGGTAAATACCATATGTATTACAGTACAGTAAGTCCCTGGGTCACTAGCATTGACTATGAACAATTCGTATTTGCCCTTTAATGTATTGTAGATTTGCCCTCACTTTGAAATGATTGGACCAGTTCCTACTTGGAAAAAATTTTCATCACAATGACCTTCACTTGCTGCATGTGCAGCTTTTAAATCATAGAAAAGGCTTTGAGCCTTTTCTTGCACTAAAACCCAACCCAACCCACTGCCATTGAATCGATTCTGACTCATAGCAACCTTATAGGATAGAAAAGAACTGCCCCATAGGGTTTCCAAGGCTGTACATCTTTAGAGAAGCAGACTGCCTCATCTTTTTCCCATGGAGCGGCTGGTGGGTTTGAACCACTGACTTGGTTAGCAGCCAAATGCTTTATGTACTGTACCAGCAGAGCTCCTTTCTTGCACTAACTCAAAAAAAAAAAAAAACCCAAACTCACTGCCATCAAGTCAATTCTGACTCATAGAAACCCTCTTTGTGTTTCTGAGGTGGTAAATCTTTACGGAAGCAGATTGCCCAGTCTTCCTTTCGTGGAGTGGCTGGTGGCTTTGAACCACCATCAACCTTCTGGTTAGCAGTCAAATGCCTTAGGCAGTATGCCACCAAAGCTCCTTTCTTGCATTAAAGTAAGGCTAAACAAGAACTGTATGAACCTGTTCCTATTTATCTACAAATTGAACTTAAAGAAACAGTTAGGAATAGATCTTGTTCATAACTCAGGGACTATCTGTAGTAGGGCTTTATGAATCATGGTGGCTAACACTGTGGTAGTATGGTGGCTTGCATGTTGCTATGATGCTAGAAGCTATGTGCAAAAACGGCAAGGAGGCCACATGTTCTGACCTCCTCTAATCCCACAAGAGGAAGGCAGAATCACCATCAATAACGCAAGGCCTATTCCTACAAGGCCAGCCATGCTGCCTCCCTCCAGCCCTTTCACCAACCGTTCCTTCCAAAGCACCACTACCCCTCTCCTGTGTTCGATAATTCGCTGCAGTGGCCACACAGAACTCACGGATTAAGGGGTTTATTAGGGAAGCACCAGGCTACAACTCCAAGGGGTCGCTATGAGTCGGGGCCGACTCAAGGGCACATAACAACAACAACAACAAAGCTACAACTCAAGTTCAGGAAGAACACTCAGTCTCTCTCCCAGTCCATGTCCCTCAGCCAACAGTCTCTCACAGTCTCTTTCCCAGCAGTGCTGGTCCCTCAGTGTCTCACTCAGCAATACGTGTCTCTTGCGTCTCTTTCCCAGCAGCACGTGTCTCTTTCAGGGGCGCGTGTCTCTTTCGGCAGCACGTCTTCCTCAACCAGCAGTCAGAGAAAGTTCTGCCTCTAGGAGGCCTCCTTTTGAGCCCGGCAGGGTAGTCAAACAAGCCAATCATAGCATCAGAACTCTAAGCACCTGAGAGAGAGTGGGCACCTCCCAGAACATTGTATTGTGCCACGCCCAACAGAAATACTCCAGGTGGATAGCTTCAGCAATCAGGAGCTCCTCAGTTGCTCATAGAAAATCCCACCTTGGAGTTTACAAAGACTTATGGGTAGAAAAGCCACACTAAGTAATTTACTACACTGCCCTATGCCACGAGTATTTCAAATATAATCATGTCACTTTTATGTATACATGTTAAAGCAAAGATTCCAGAGAGACATACTAGGAAAAAAGGTCTGGTGCTTTACTTCCGAAAATTAGTCAATGAAAACCTTATGGATCGTAACAGAATGTTGTCTGATAGAAGCTAGAAGATGAGGCCCTTAGGTTGGAAGGCGTTCAAAGCACACAGTGGCCACAACAATGATCTGGGGCATACCAGTGATTACCAGACATGGTGATAATGTTGTATAAAATTCACACAAAATACTTACCCGGGAGTGTAAATCCAGCTGCTATTTTATGTAGGGGAAAGCCAGGGGCATTTGCAGAACTTAAAACAGAAGAAATCAAACCTTTGAAGGTTAACTGTATGTGTCCTGCCACTAATACTCTCTTCTGGCTTCTAACTTTCCTTAGGCTTAAAATGTATCTGGAGATGTTGGTTCCTTTGTTGTTCAGAGTTCATTTCTTACTCTTTCAAAACTATTTTGTCTTTTTAAAAAGGGCAAAATTGTTGATTATGAAAAAAAAAATCATTGCTGTGAATCAGTGTTGAATAAGGTTTACTCTCTGGCAAGCTACCAGTTGTTGTTGTTATGTTCCGTCGAGTCATTTCCAACTCATAGCGACCCCTCCTTGGGTTTCCCATGCAGCATCACTATGGAAGTAGATTGCCCAATGTTCCTTCCGAGGAGTGGCTGCTGGGTTTGAACTGTCAGCCTTCTGCTTAGCAGTCAAGTGCCTTAGACACTACGCTACCAGAGTTCCCGCAAGCTACCAGAAGTGTTCAAATATGCATACTGATGGCTTTTCCTACACTCTCTTCACTTGAACTTTGTTGAATTGTGTATGGAACTGTAATCAAATCGGTGTTTCTTAATAAAGGCATTGAAAAGCAAAGAAAAAATAGGACTGGGGGAGACCAGGGGTCGGTGCTAGGGGTAGGTCTGGAGGGAGATACTTAGCAATGCAGGAGTGGACAATATTTTACTCTGTGTATATGGGATTGCCTTGAGTTGGAGTTGACTCTATGGTAACTAACAACATTTAAGAGCTTGATGATGTAAAATGGCATCTGACTTACTGTTTTCAGTCATGCAAATTATGTATTCTAGGCAAATTTAAGAGTGCTATTTTTCATTCCCCATTCTCAAATTTTTTCTTATGTAGGCTTGTCATTTTTGTTTGACAACAGAATGTTTTACTTACTAAGTACTAAAACCAAAAAAACCCAAACTCTCTGTCACTGAATCGATTCAACTCACAGCAACTCCCATTGGGTTTCCAAGGTTGTAAATCTTTACGAAAGCAGACTGCCTCATCTTTCTTCCATGGAGTGATCATTTGGTTAGCAGCCAAATGCTTTAACCACTACACCACCAGAGCTCCTTACTAAGTACTAGGAGTTGTACAAAAATGCATGTGTGTACACTTCAAATGTTTTGAAGAAGGTTTTGTTATTGTGGAACGTAGCAAATAGGTCTTTCTAAATAAACTACAAAACTGTTCAATGAACTACTTAATTCATTTTAATCTATTATAACACCTGTTCTCCAAGTCATCATATGAACACTATTTTTTTTTTTCTATTTCTGTTTGGAAATAAATCAAGAATCAGTTACATTACTTTAAATATCTTTATTACATTGAACATTATCAATCACATTTATGAAAAGGAACAGTAAAATTGTATTCAAAACATCTCAATCCTCATTCTAGTCAAGAAAAATATATTTTAGTACGATAGCAATCCACTAAGTATACATCATTATTGTTAGGCTACCTCTATCAGGAAAATGATCATAAATGCTAAGGTATGAAGCAATTCTGAGAACAATTGCACTGTATCATTGCCAGAGATTAAAATAAAAACCCTGTAGATATATGCTTTGTAAATAATATGATGAAAATGACTTCCTAAAACTAAATGTTAAGTAAAATTTTATGAAATGACTCAGGAAATAAAATTGTAAAGTTTTCTTCCTAAAGCTATTTTGACAGCCTCTAAAGGGCCAAATAAGGTGCTCTGGTAGTGTTGTGGTTAAGGTATGTGGTTGCTAATCAAGTCAGTGGTTTGAACCCACTAGCTGCTCCACACAAGAAAGATGGGGCAATCTGCTTCCACAAAGATTTACAGCCTCCAAAACCCAATGGGGCTGCTATGAGTGGGAATTGACTTGACAGCAATAAGTTTAGTTTTTTGAGTTTAAAGGGCCAAATAAGGATTTGTGAAATGCCCTAATGTGGTCTAATGAGAAAAGGCTTAACTTCTCTTCTTGCTAATAAGCCATGTTCACTTAGGCCAGTATTTATCTGTCATAGTTCCCTGCTTGTTTGCTCACTGGAGTGAGTTTTGTCTTTCAGGCCTACTACTATGTACTGCAGTGGGTTTTAAAACACTATGCAAAACTTCCCTATACATCTAAACATTTCCAACCAATAATTTCTTCACCCAACCAGCATTTTTACTACTACAAATATTTCTTTGCATGCAAGATGGATCTGTCAGCTACACAAGAGATAGTTGCCTTTTCACTATCCATTGCTTGCCTGTGCACCACTGTTATATTGGACCTTGAATTGTCTTTCAAAAGTCCTCATCATAGTTAAAGAACTGACTGATTCTGTCTGAATAACCTATTGCAGATCCCAGCCCTGATGGATACACATCCCAAGTTTCTGTTTCATCTGTTGTGGAGGGAGCTGACTCTTGAGAAAAAGCCAACATGGAACTGATGGATTGGCAGTCTTCTGAAATTTTCAAAGGAAGTGACCTTGTGGGAGAGGCTTCCCTGGTGACTGTAGGAAAGTCCAAAGCTTCTGGATAGATGGACACGGGGATGTTTTCAGAAGCATAGTTACAGCTCGAAAGGCTCTTAACTTCATGCACATTATCACTATATTTCAGAGCAGGGGGCTGGTAGGCCTGGTAGGACACTTTGGTGGTAGTAGTGATCACAGTCTGTAGGGCTGGAACACCTGGGGAGGGATTTGTGAGGTACCCGCAAGGATGATCTGGGTTATAATAAGGGCAAGGGTTCATGGCCTGGAACTGTCCATAGTCAGTCCTCTCCCCGAGGCTAGGTTTCCCAAGAGCTGGTTGTTTCCATCCATGTTGTTTACTGGTGAAATCAAAGCTTCTTCCATAGCTGCTATAGGAATTGACATTATATTCTAGTGCATTCACATGAACCCAGTCTGTGTCATTAGGGCTATTGGTGGATTCTTTATAAAGGGTTGGGTATGGGCTAGAATGTGTGTAACTAGGGCCTGCCACTTCATAGCCACAAGGTGGCCTAGGCAAATAGATTCTTGGGTTTGGGTATTTCTGAAAGGGTGGCATTATGTCTCCTTGGAAAGTGGGTAGGTCATAGGAAGCATCCAAGTTTGGGAAGGAGAGGCAAGGCTGTTCTGGAATGCGGAAGTTATCAGTCATTATATCAAGTTGTTCTGGATTTTTTAGAAGAGGTATGTTGTGAAAATGTCCATTACTATCTTGATCCTCTTCTGCCTAAAAAGTTATACACACAGAGACATATGACATGTAAATTGTGTGAACATCCTCACCTGTAACAAGAGCAGATCAACTAAATACCTTCTGGTTGGTGGATTCTGTGTTATGAACACCGGGCTGCTGAGGTACATGATTTGGGCATGTGGTCCATGGGTTGTATAGCTTGAGCTCACTCAGCCATGAATACCATGCTACTACTAACTGAAGAAGGTTCAGTGGTAGCCAGGCAGGATGGGTCTGAGTGTCAGACAGTCCTGTTCTCCCCTAGACTATGTTCTTGAGAACTGAGGCTCAGGAGCTACACAGACCTAGGTTCAAATCCTGACTCTGTCTCTCACTAATTGGGCAAGTTACTTATTCTCTGTAAGCCTGAGATTCCTCATTTAAAAAATTAAGTTCAATAATAGTAATATCCTCCTAGAGTTTTTGTGATCATTAAATGCTTGAAACACTTGGATCAGTATCTGGCACGCAGAAGGGCTCTAACAATGCCATTTCTGTCAAACTAGACATAGTTTGACATATTGTCAAACTAACACTTTGCCTTAGCTTGGTATGCTTTAGTTGGAAAGACATACAGGAACAAGTCATGCAGAGAAAATATAACTGTTCTTATATCAATAATAACTTCTCTGGTGGCACAGTGGGTAAGCAGTTCAAACCCACTAGCTGTTCTGCGGGAGAAAGATGAGGCAATAGGAACTCAGTGGTGCAATGCGTAAGGCATCTGACTGCCAAACCAGAAGTTTGGGTGTTCAAACCCACTAGTTACTGCACAGAGGGAAGATGGAGCAATCTACTTCTGTAAAGATTTACTGCCTCAGAAACCCAAAAGAGGTCACCATGAGTCTCAATAATGCAAAGGCTCCTCTGAAGGATGTGCTCTTAGCTCACTGGTGGTATGGACATATTTATTTCTATGTTATCATTTGATAACTGCCTTTGTATCAGGATGTCAGCATACATCCTGAATGTCAAAGCAGTTTTTTTTTTCTTTAAAAGAAGGGATTAAAAACCCTATCCAGAAAATTGATTCAATGATATTTTCTTAGAGATACATAATTTTCACATTAAATCAAATCTTTGTAATCATTATATGGCATTCATATTTCACAGTGCATTTTGCAATGAAAATAAACACAAATCACAGCACAATGTCAGTTCTGGGATTACCTCAGGCTCTCTAATTCTCTTTTTCTGGGGTTGGTAAGAAGAAGCCATCTGTCTCTTGATGGCACTTCTTCTAGCTTCAGTCTCTGATTTACTCTCTGGTCTTGGGTGGTCATGAACTCCCTTGGCCTGTGTTAATGAAGAAATACATCATATATCTTGTTCCTCTGAAGAAAACTAGTAATGTTGGCCAAAAATTGATAATGCCTTTCCCAAGATCCCAAGTTTGTTTTTGTTTTTCTTCAAAATGACAGAGGAAGGAAAATTTTTCAATAACACAGACATCAGTAATGGGCATCACACAAGATGATCTACAATCCTTTCATCTTACTAAATGAACTATAACTACAACTTGTTTGTTATCACTTGTCCTTAGGTGATCCTAGCTCAAGTGGTAGCTCACACAGTAGATGAGCTAATTCCACTGAGCCAGGTAGGCCAACAATCATGGAAGCAGCAGTCAAGATATCAGACATCGTATTATACTGGGCAAATCTGCTGCAAAAAGCACTTTAAAGTGTTAAGGAGCTTGGTATAATGACAGACATATAGACCAATGGAATAGAATTGAGAACCCTGAAATAGATCCATTGACCTATGGTCAGCTGATCTTTGACAATTGTATTGTAAACAGGGAAGAGAATGTTTAATAAATGGTGCTGGCAAAACTGGATATCCATTTGCAGAAAAATGAAACAAGATCTGTACTTCACACCATATACAAAAACTAACTCCAGATGGATCAAAGACTTAAATGTGAAACTTAAAACTATGAAGTTCCTCAAGGAAAAACTAGGGGCAAATTTAGGGGTCCTAATATATGGGATAAATAGACTATCAAGCATAACCCAAAATACACAAACAGCAGGAGAAGAAAAAGTAGATGAATGGGATCTTCTGAAAATTAAATTTTTAGGTGCTTCCAAAGACTTCTCCAAAAGAGTTAAAAGACAATCTACAGATTGGGAAAAAATATTTGGCAATGACATATCTTACAAGGGACTTATCTCTAGAACTTATAGAAAACTCCAACACCTCAATAACAAAAAGACAAATAATCCAATTAAAAGATGGGCAGGAGATATGAATAGACACTTCACCCAAGAAGATATTCAGGCAGCTAACAAACATATGAAGAAATGTTCATGATCATGAGCCATTAGAGAGATGCAAATCAGAACAAAAATGAGATACCATCTTGCCCCAACACTAGTAGCAAAGTTCAACAAGACAGAAAATAACAAATGTTGGCAAGTATGTGGAGTAATTGGGACTCACACACTGCTGGTGGGACCATCAAATGATACAACCACTGTAGAAAGCAGTGTGGTGATTCCTTCAAAAGTTGGAATTAGAAATACCATTTGACCCAGCAATTCCATTACTAGGTATATATCCTAAAGAACTGAGAGCCAGGACAAGAACAGATATGTATGTACATACATGTTTATTGCAGCATTATTTATAATAGCTAAAAGATGGAAATATCCTAGGTATCCATCGACTGAAGAATAGATAACCAAACTATGGTATGTACACACAATGGCATACTATACAACCCTAAACAATAATGTAGAATCGGCAAAACACTGCATAACGTGGATGAACTCGGAGGACATTATGCTGAGTGAAATACGTCAATCACAGAAGGACAAATATTGTATTAATCTATTATTGTAAAAAGTCAAGGAAAGGTTTATATATGGAAGTAATTTTTCGTTGTTGGTTACTAGGGGTGGAAGAATAGGGGAGAGAATACTATTAGATAGGTAAAGACAAGTATTGATTTGGGTGAAAAGAAGGGCAATGTGAGTGATCAACACGGTGGCGTTGAGGAAGAGGAAGACAGAGAGAGGTACATGGGAAGTATAGACAACAAAGATGAATTCTTTTGCACATAAAGTACTGCATTGTCAGTGAAGGCAAACACGGATATAAGGGTGGGTAGATGGGTGGACAGGCTGAACTATTAGGTATGTCTATGCAGTGGAAGTGTGCCCAAGACCATGTATAGGGTTGGGAGACAATGTTTCTACAAATGCATTGGTATGTTCTGTAAGAATTCCCAGGTATATAGTAGGGCTGACAAGGGACAAGGTTACCCAGAGGGAGCAAGTAGTTGGACCTGTGGACTTCAGACCATAGTCGCAGGGGACATTAAGCTCAACTGGCTTAACATACTACACAAAACATTGTTCTACCTCCTACTTTGGCGAGTAGCAACTGGGATCTTAAAAATTTGTAAGCACCATCTAGGTGCAACAATGGGTCTCTCCTCATCCAGACCAAAGAAGAATGAAGAAAACCAAAGATTCATGGAAACAATTAGTCCAAGCAACTGGTATACCATGAGATCCTCAGCTGTATGACTATGAGACCAGAAGAACTAGATGGTGACCAGCTACCACTGTCAACCACTCAGAGGGGGTTCTAAGTAGGAGATCTTGGATAGAGTGGGAAAACCATGTGGAACAAAACTCAAAATCATTACAATAAATAAATAAAAGGACCAGGTTTGCTGGTCTGATATAGCCTGGTGGAACCCCTGAGACTATGGCCCCTACTTGCCCTTCAGGTCTGGAAATGAACATATTCCTGTGGCTTCCAGCCAAACAAAAGACAGGCGTATGAGCTGAACATTTATACTCCTTGGAGAGAACAATCATGGGAGAATAGAAGGGCTGTATATGCACAGGGAGACAGCTCAGGGGGAGGAGTGCACAGAGGGAAGGACACAGGGAAGAGGTAACTATGGGGAAGAAGTGGGAGGGGAGCTGTTGCATTGTGGTAAACTGTAGTCAAGGCCATGAGACAAAGTGTAAGTGAACTGCTGTATGGAAGGTGAATTTGCTCTGTAAACTTTCACCCAAATCAAAATAAAAAAAAAAAAAAAAAAAAAAAGTGTTAAGGAGCAAAGATGTCACTTTGAAGACTAAGGTGTGCCTAACCCAAGCCATGGAATTCTCAATTGCCTCATATGTATGTGAAAGCTGGAAAATATATAAGGAAGACTGAAGAAGAGTTGATGCTTTGGCATTGTGGTATTGGTGAAAATACCATGGACTGCCAAAAGAATGAACAAATCCATCCTGGAAGAAGTACAGTGAGAATGCTCCTTAGAGGCAAGAATGGCCAGACTTCATCTCATATAATTTGGTCATGATGTCAGAAGGGACCAGTCCCTGGAGAAGGGTATCATGCTTGCTAAAGTGAAGTTGTTGTTGTTGTTATGTGCTGTCGAGTTGGCCCCAACGCATAACGACCCCTCCTTGGGTTTCTGAGGCATTATCACTACAGAAGTAGGATTGTCCAACCTTCCTTCTGAGGAGTGGCTGGTGGATTTGAACCACCAGCCTTCTGATTAGCAGTCAAGTGCCTTAGGCACTATACTACCAGAGAAGTGTCGGTGAAAAAGGGGAAGATCCTCAATGAGATGGACTGACACAGTAACTGCAACTACGAGCTCAAGCATTGCCAGGATAGTGAGGATGGCACAGGACTGGGCAGTGTATTGTTCCATTGTACATAGGATTGCTATGAGTCGGAGCCAACTTGATGGTACCTAACAACAGCAACAGGTAGATCCTTGGAGAGGTATAGCTCCTGTTTGTGGCCATTGGAGCTGTATTTGGTTTGGTTCAGAATTCCTAAGGCACATGGCAATAGGTTTGATTCATATGGATGGTTGAAGATATACATCACAACTCGTTTTTCCTCACGTACCTGAAAAAATATAGCATTGCCATCCAGTCTCCAGAAGTTGGTTACTGGGTATCCACTGTGCCCTCGGCAGGGAATCAGCTCCAAAGATGAACTGCAGTTGGGGCATGTTTTCTCTGTAAAACTCAGAGGGGAAATAGTAATGCTAATATTAATGAAATAACTAAAAATACCAAACCAAACCAGTGATGGCTGAGTTGATTCCAACTCATTGCAAATCAGTGTGTTAGAAGAGAACTGTGCTCTACAGTGTTTTCAAGCTTCTGATCCTTTGTAAGCAGATCTTCAGGCCTTTCTTCTGAGACAGCTCTGGGTGGATTCTAACTGCCAACATTTTGATTGGTGGCCAAATCCTTAACTCTCTGGCCCATTCAAGGATTACTAATTCATTACAGTCCATTATTTATATAAAACCAAAAAAACCACTGCCATTAAGTCAATTCTGACTCAGAGTGACTCCCATTCGGTTCCCAAGGCTGTAAATATTTATGGAAGTAGATTGCCTCATCTTCCTTCCACAGAGCAACTGATGGATTTGAACCACCAACTTTCACAAACAAAACAAATTTAAAATACATATAAAATAATACATATTTATATGTATTTAATAACAACCCCTATTTCACCTCTTCTGATGGAACAGTGGGAGATTAGTCAGGAGTAGGGATTTTGTGACTTTCAGACACCCATCTTGCCTCGCACTCACTCTGCTGCTTCAGCCTGGCCTTGTCACAGATTGCAGGTCGCAGCTGCAGGCGAGAGCCATCCGGCAGGGCACAGGCCTGTGCACACAGTACCACGCCAAGGCATGACTTCTTGAGGATGTGGCCATTGTGGTTATTGGTGTTGCGCATAGCCCAGCCACTCAGGTGGCGCTGTGCCTTCTTCTCATTGCCACGGTAGATGAAGCGCACATAGCCATCAGGCCACTCACAGAAGTGGTCAAAATGGGTGAGATCCTGCAAAGGGCATGGAAAAGGAAGGTGGTCAAGTTTATCAAGTTCCGACTGCACCCATGATGCTTTTTATTTTTCTCCAAACACATTTGAATAAAGACTTGTCCTTTGTAAATTCTGAAATGTAAAACCCAGACATTATGCCACCACAAATTGCCACTCATGCAGTCTTTGCCCACTGTTCTGACAACTGGGTAATCGTAACAGAGACTGTTTATAAGATGCTTATCTTCTAAATGCTGCTGTTGTTATAGTTTTTAGTTGTTACAGAGTCAATTTTGATTCATGACGCCCCATGTGTGCAGCAGAGAACTGCTCCATAGGGTTTTCAAGACTGTCACCTTTTGGAAGCATATTGCCAGGCTTTTCATCTGAGGAGATTTTGGGTGGGTTCAAACTGCCAACCTTTGGTTAGCAGACCAGTGCTTAACCATTTGTGCCACCACATAATAATTCATCTAGCATTCACAACACACACAGATGATAGGAACAATTATCCCCATTTCATACAACAGGAAGCTGAGGTCAGACAGGTTAATTGACTTGCCCAAGATCACACAGCTGGCATGAGGCAACTCTAGGATTTGAGTTGAAACAGTTCAATTCCAGAGCCTGAACTCCTTAGAACTATGTTATATCACTTGTTGGCATGTTTAAATGCTGAAAATATCTTCAAGTTAAGTATCAAGAGTGATCAGAAAGCTCTGTCACTGAAACAGAATTTCACCTGTAAATATCTTTACTTGGACTCAGTGATTTTCCTTAAAAATATCTAGGGTCTACCCCAAACCTGTTAGTTGCATCAGCAGTGATACCTAGAGCACAGCCAGAAGGGCAAAAACAGCTTTCCTCCCTCCCTACTCCCAGCTGAACAGCTTTCTGAGTTAAAAAGCAGCACTGAGTGATGAAGACTCTAACCATAAAGACAACCTGGAGCAGGATGGAACTGCCATAATTCTCAACAAAAAGCCACATGGTGAATGGAACAAATGATGTCTAAAATACTGAGCACTGTTTTGTATTCACACTTTGTGGTCTTTGTCTACCTTATGCATTATTTATACTGTAAGAAATGTCTTTCTCATATATGTTTAATATAAAATTACCATTTTCCAAGCACTTCCCATTTACCACGCACTCTCTATGGCAGGGGTTGGCAAACTATAGACCGATGGCCAAAACAGGCTTGTATGGCCTATAAACTGAGAAAGAGTTTTATAGTTTTAAATGGGTTAGAAATAAATTTTAAAAAGATTTACATTTTGTGACACATTAAAACTGTATGAAATTCAATTGTATTATTCATAAATAAAGTTTTATTGGAATACAGCCATATACATTTCTCAAATATTATCTATTGTTCTTTTTGCACTAGAAGAGCAGAGTTGGGAAAGTGACAGTGTGACTCCCAAAGTCACACTGATCTAGGGGTTTCTTACACATCTGCAATCCTCACAACTGTGCAAATGGGCATCCTTACTCTTATTTATAGGTAAGGAAATGGAGATTAGATAAGTTTCCATTGGTGAAAAGCCAGGATTTAAACAGAGCTTTGTTTAAATATATAGCCAGGCCCCACTGTTTTCATGGTCTGATGAAGACTCAGAGTTATTATCAAAGTAGTAGCCATTTTCACATCCTCCCCCTGCCACCTCAGGAGAATTAGAACCAATATTTGCAAAGGACAAGTATTCTCAGTTGACCAATTTAGACTTGAGTACATTGTTAATAGTGTACATTCTAATATTAATAAGATAAATGGGTGGTTACATTTCCAAAAGCAAAAGGATAATGTTGAAATAATAATTATTTTTAATAGATAGGATTTTAGCTTTTCTCCGAAATATTAAATTAACATACATTAGTATGTTGACTTAAGGGAAGTCAAAAGGGAAGTGTATAATAATGAACTATCAATTCTAAGTTTGTATTTAAATATCTTCATTTTAAAAGCTAAGATTTCCCTTTGAGGATTTTAGTATCAAATTGACATTTTCCCAGAAGACAGCATTCTTTAGCACTTCCCTGTATAGGTGTCGACTAGCTACTGAGGTGGTGACCCTGGTGATAAAGCTACAGAGACAGTATTTTTAAAACAACAACAGTAGAGGATTCCAGGATTGAATTTCATTTGCTCTAATGTGTTGGCACAAACACTTGCACACCATGCACATGCACACACACACACACACACACATGCTGGACAGTAGAATTTGAGATTGTTGTCTAGTTCCTCCATTTGATGATAGGCTAGTAGCCTGAGACTAAGAAAATTAAGAGAACTTCTCAAGGTCACGAAGCCAGATCAGCTCTCTCACACAGTTAGCCACAGCAGGGATAGGATGATAAGTTCCATTGTCAGTTTTCTTTCTCTGTCCCAGTGCACCTATTCCGTTGGAGATGTCACTTTAGTCTCTGCTTAGGATCGAGTCTCCCAAAGAAACACAATTTCTGTTTACATAGGAAGCCTTGATGATACTATAATACTTGAAAGATTAATTATCTTTACATTTTTTTGATGTGGCTCTTTCCTAAATCCAATATTAGGTTGTCTTTTATGAAGACTTTAGTAGACAGAAGTCAGTGAGTGTGTAATGTGGTCTCCCTTCACAAAAATGGCATCATAAGGCCTCCAAAACAAACATTAACCTGCCATAAATGTGCATACTCCAAAAAGTGTAATCCCCTGGAGAGATCACACAGTATTGCTAGTGAAGTGCTGCTGTCCATCTGAACACCTATCAGGCACAGAGTTGATGCTGAATACATGCAAGTCTCTGACCCCTTATGCCATGACATTGCCAACTTCTGCCACTCCCAGTTTCCCTCCACATAACACCCAGGATTCAAGTCACTCCTTAGTTGTTGACCCAAACTAGTACGGCCAAGCATATTGCCCATCTCATTCCCTGGACTTGGTCTTAAACTATTTTGGGTCATTAAAAAAAAAAAAAAATCAAATTCATCCTTAAAGGATATCAATTTCCTGTCATTAGAGAAGAAATAAGCTCAGAAGCTAGGGCCGAAATCAATGACAGAGGCTCTTTGAGCACCCAAGACTTCCACAATGACTGTAGAGTCTTCTAAGAGCTGTGCTTCTTGGCATCCACATTGCCCAAGTCCCACTACTTGTATAAAATTCAGGTATGTCAGTTTTGTGGAGTGGATAATCAAGGGTATTTTCATACAGTGAGATTTTTTTTCTTTCACTTCTCTGGATTTGAAAGTATGGATAAGAAAGAGAGGTCCCTGATTTCTAAAGTTACCCTGAGTTGAAGAAGAGTGAAGGGAGGACGCGCCCGCCTGCAGGAGGATTGAGAAGTGGAACCTGACAGGTATTTCCCGCTCCCTTTTTGGTGTGTTCTCAGTCAAGTTCACGGAGAAGCTGGCAGAATAGAGTTCTCTAAACTCAGCCCTGCCATTTGTACAGTCTAGAGAAGTTTCTCTTAAATTTGAGGGCTGCTGTGTGTGTGTAAGCGGGAGTGCATGTCTGCAGTATCGAAGGGCTTGAATGTCATCTCCACTCTCTTTGAATGGACAGGTACACACACCTGCGGCATTTGTGGGTCATTGATATCCCAGTTGAGCTTCATCCCATAGGAACATAGATAGTCCGCCTTCTGCTCATCCGCCGGCATCTGCCCTGACTGGTTCAGGCAGCCTGAAAGACAGAAGAAAAAAAACGAGAAGTGCGCAAGGCGACTTTTTTCCCCTTTAAAAAGAGAGAGGTTCCTGCTGGGGAGAAGGGAGAAAAGAGCTGATTAGAAATCCAGGAGTGCCCCTGTCCACCGCAGCGGTGCTGAATGCTCTCCAGCCGGGCAGCAGCAATCTCGCGCGGAGTAGCTGCCTGCACTTTATAAAGCTTCACTTTCCGGAGCTCCGCCTTTCTTCGCCTCTGGCGCCCGCTCCTAAGTTCCAGTACAGGCGAGGCCCAGTCACCCTCCCCCGGACAGAGTCAGATGCTGAGGGCAGGTTGACACGAGTCCTTGGGACGAAAGGACAACTGAAGCTAAGATATTAAGGGGAAGTGGGGAGGTTGGAATGTCTCGCTGAAGCGGAAAACCACTTTTGCTAACCGGACTCGCTTCTGGGAGTTGGCATAGAGCTTTGGTGGAGGGTTTTTAGAAGTTTTGCAGAAAAGTGCCCTGAGAGCCAACACAACACTCAATTCCAAGACAGCGCGGGAATCCTGTAAGTGACCCTCGGCGGCCCCTCAATAGTCTAATTAATTGAGCCCACGCCTCCTTTGTGTGGATCCTTCCGGGACCAGTTCCCAGCTCTTGCTTGCAAAGGTGTATCTACCGAAAATAGCGCCTGTAAGCGCAAACTCTGAATTTGCGCTCCTGTCCAAAAATCTGACACTCATATTTTAGATAATTTTACCGCAATATCAATTCAAAAATACAAGTCAAGCTCCTTAATCTTTTACTTAACATATTACAACACAGCACGAAAATTTCAACTCTACCTCTCCGGCTCTCGCTGATGAAAATTGGTTTATGATGTGTTCAAAACCATTTCCACCCCACCCCACCCCCAGTTTCTTCTATTTCTACACACAGCACAGCAAAATCACACAGTCTGCCTTGACCCATAAAAACCAAAACCAGACCCACTACACCAGGGGTTCATAGCGACCCTTAGGTGTTAGAACTCCCCCATGATTTCTAAGGCTGTAAATCTTTAAGCAAGCAGACTGCTTATTATTCTCCTGGAAGCCGGGAATAAGTGGAGCTGCCTACCTTTTAGCAGTCCAGCGCTTAACCACTACTCCTCCTTGACCGGTTGTTGTTGTTATGTGTTGTCGAGTCGGACCCAACTCATAGAGACCCCTCCTTGGGTTTCCGAGGCGGTATCACTAAGGAAATAGATTGCCCAACCTTCCTTCCGAGGAGTGTCTGGTGGGTTTGAACCTCCAGCCTTCTGGTTAGCAACCAAGAGCCTTAGGCACTACGCTACCAAAGCTCCCTCCTTGACCTGTGGAGTCCCTTAAATAGGAAAGTAATAGTTTTAACTTGCTGAGTGATCTCTCAAGGAGCTCCGGTCCCTCAGCTGCTAACCAAGGTCGCTCGGGGATAGAACGATGAAGCAGCCTGAGTCTCTAAAGATGTACAGCCTTGGAAACCCCATGGAGCAGTTCTACGCTGTCCTATAGGGTCCGCTATGAGTCAGGGTCGCTATTAGTGGGCCATCAGTCCCTTTGAATGATCTATCACAGCTGGCTGATGGAAACTGCCATGGTTAATAGAAACTACTCAGTGGCATCCCCTTTCAAGTGGCGCCCAAGGCACATGCCCACCATACCTTTAGATATTCCTCTGCTTGCAGTCCTGGAGTCTGGGATCGGTTGTTTGGGACATCCCAGGGAGCCCCGAGCGCTTGCTTGTTCACCGGCCAGAGCGCACACGAGCTCTCGGGAGCTGCGGAGGGACCGGGAGAACCAGCAGGAGTTAGGAAACAGTGAGCCTGGAGTAGGTGGAGGAGGAGAAAGAAGATGAACTCTGGCTCGCACGCATCATCTCGCGTCAGATCGGTAGTTCTCTCTCCTGACTGGGCTCTGTGGGCTTCAGATTCCATTTCTGTTAAGTTAGTGATTGGATCTCAGTGAGCGCTCAGTTGCCACCCACTTGAAATCACAGGAAAACAAAACTGTCTTTATTGGTATTATAGAAATACCGCGACCATATCTTATTGACCTTATTCTAGAGGACCCCAGCGGGGTGGTGATGGTGGTGGAATAGGGGATACTGTGCCCCCCACCCCACCCCCGGCCAGGACAATACCTTCTTCACCTGGACATTCGCCTGGTCTGGGGCGATCCTCACTAGAGGCGCCGGACAAAAGAAATCGATTGAAGCGACTTAACACTACTTTTTGGCTCCATCCCTGATTCTGGGCGGCAAAGGAAGCTGGACTTCCGAAATGTTTTCCGGCTTACCCCATGTTCTGCAGTCCGTACGCTTCCATTACCAACCCTAGCGGGTCAGAGAAGGCAAATCACTGTTTGGAGAAGTTTTGAATTACCCCACTCCCACCCTCAGTCACCGCAAACCCCTGGTCTGGCGCTCCGTGGACCTTGGCACTATGGAGGGCGCTCAGGGGCACGCACACATGCTGCGCGAAGCCAAGCGAGCGCTCAGGCAGGCGTCTCTTGTTCGTTCAGTCCCTCTGTTAACGAAAAGGGCGAAAAAAGGACCGTCTAGCCCCACAACCTGTGTTGGAACAGCGTTAGTCAAGGGTACAGTCAAATTTGCTTAGAAAAGGCAATGCAATGGCGAAGTGCATTTCGGAGCACCCTGCCAGTGCAACCAATTTGGGAAGAACTTCCGTGGGTGAAAGATCGACTTTGGGCAGTTCTGCGTGTTTTCTTCCTCCTTTTGTTTAAGATGAGTTTCTCCTACTTATCGAAGGCGAGAAGTCTGTATACAAGAAACTGATTCGTTCTTCCCCCAGCCTCATCCTCTCCTTTCCCTGTTCCTGAAAGCCTGTGGCAATCAGGATGTCTGATTAAAATCGCACTCAAATGGTTGCCATGAAGGTTTGGGTGGCAACAACAGGATGTTATCTTCTCTTCTCCCATCAGTTTCATCCACTGACTTTCATATTAACCTATTGCCAAAGGTCTCAGCAACTCTCGTTGTTCATTTGCTTTTTATCACTTGCTTTGCCTTTCAATTATTACAGTTATTTTTATTTTTCATTCTCACAGGTCGGTTTTGTTTCAAATGTGTTGGTTTAAGATAATTCAAGCTATGAATATTTAAAGAAATAATTTAAAGGATGTTGTTATTATGTGCCGTCGAGTCGGACCCGACTCATAGCGACCCCTCCTCCCTCCTTGGGTTTCCGAGGCAGTATCACTATGGAAGTAGATTGCCCAACCTTCCTTCCGAGGAGCGAGGAGCGAGGAGCAGGTAGTGAACCGCCAACCTTCTGGTTAGCAGTCAAGTGCCTTAGGCACTATGCTACCAGAGCTCCCAATTTAAGGGACAGGTAATTAAAATTACCACTGAGAATGCATAGAAATTAATTTCTATTAATTACTGTCTTTAAATATTGTCTTTTAATTACTTGTTTTACTACAAATGTTGTTAAAATAGTTCATGTGACTGTACTTTGAGAATGTGTCTAGAAAGCCTTTACCCTTCAAAAATATAACTTTTAATGATAAAGGCAAATTGATTAATCATATACTTTTTCTAAATGGATTCTAGTGTCCAAAGACATGTCATAAAGCTGCTCCATATTTAGAGAATTGTTGTTGTTGTTATTTGCCGTCGAGTCGGCCCCGACTCATAGCGACCCCTCCTTGGGTTTCCGAGGCAGTATCACTACGGAAGTAGGATTGCCCAACC